GGAGGAGCACAGGGGAGGAAGCTATTGTTCTGTTCTTATTTAGCCCTTGCTGTCACTCTGCAACTGTTGTCACTTCTAAGTTTAGCTGGACGATTGAAGAGGACCTTAAAAAGGAGAAGGAAAGGAAGAAGAAGACGGCGCGAAGGAAAAGACAGTTATTAAGGAGGGTAGGAAAAAACAGGGGTAGAAGGTGTTGGTGTTAGGAAGCATTAAAGAAGCACTGAATTAAATTAACACAAAGAGATTTCATAGAAATCCAAATAGAAGACCAACAGAGGTAATAGTGAGTTAAAACTAACAAGTACATAATTTTAACACGAGGCGTTTTAATATTGATGTAAGATTGCTACTTGCTGGAACTATTTTAAACCAGCTACGGCAAGTCTCACATATACCCAGAATAAGAATTAAAAACATCAGCTTCACAAACCATACAGACTGTTTATTGTACATCTTTCATGAACCTCCAGTTTAATATTGTTCCAAATGAGCAGTTTCTTTGCCTGCAACTTTAAATCAAGCCCTTCTCAGGTAGACGGAGGAGAGGCCTGGATCACATTCAGTACCAACACTGATGCAGAGCCTGGGTGATCCGATCACAAGTGGAAAGTGCTAAGTGCTTATATTCACACCTGGTGTTAAAATGCATCCCCACGTGAGTGCCAAGTTACCGAGTCATATCTGTTACCCACTCCGTATGCAAATAAACCCAAAGGCTACGGCATGCAGGCGGCCAGTAAACTGTACGCTGAGTAACAAAAGAACATAATCAGGTCTAAAGATTTTACTGTACAATCCTAAGTATATTCCATCCAAATCCTTATTCAGATTTTCCTATTTCATTTATTGCTGAATTATTGCTGAAACATTCCAATACACTCAGTTATATAACTGGGAACATTTGAACGAAGTAAAATGCCACAAAATAACGTGAAACCTTTTACCCGTCAAACTGTGACAGCTTATCAGTAGGTCACCAGCTGTCTTCTGCACACGTTCACTGAAGAATCTAAAGAAGTGGATTAGTGGGTGACCAATGAATCACTGATAAGATTCTTCTAAATTAATTGATGGATAGCAATGTACATTGTTTTAATCACAGTGAGTACAGTCAATGGCCTCAACAATCAAGAGCAAATTCTATAAACTGTTGAGACCAACAAACTTTAAAAGCTCCTGGTAATTTAATGTTGGGGAGTTGAGAGGCACACATCACCCTGTATGTACAATACAGGGAAAAAATCTGGTTAATCGTACATGGAGGGGTTGATGAAAATGTTTCTTGTGAACTAATTAATCAACATGTCTTAACAAGTGTAGACTGTATTGAGCATGTACAACATAAACTAAATTGCCTCCTGAGAACTGGAATAATCAAATGAGAAAAGAATACCTAAATGTGTCATTTGGATTTAGAGTGAGTTGATGAAAAATAGTGGTCAAGCTAGACAACGTAGAGAGCAGAGCTAAAAGAGGCAGCAGGGAAAGACACAAGAAAAGACAAAACGGGAAGACAGAAGAGGGAGGAGGAGACAAATTGGCCCAGCTGTCTGCTCATAAAGCAGCCGAGAGGTGAGGCGCTAAGCCCTCCAGTGAAAGCAGAGCTTAGGTGGGTTACATAGGGCAGCGGACCCCACTCAGTCCAATGTGGCCCACAGCGTAGGGCCTGCGCCAAAGCAAAGACACATGGATAAACAGTGGGAGATGGGGCTCCGTGCCTGCAAAGCCCAGAGGGCTAAGACAACCCTCCGGCGTCACATTCCCCCCCAGTGAGAAGTGGAGACAGAGGGGTTAAGGCTTAAGGCTCGGCTGCCCGACGGGACGACAAGAGACGAGGCGAGATGCTAGACATTGTCTCAGTGAGGTCAACGAGTTAGCCAAGAAGAATGCGGAATGTGGAATCGACTGCATCGGCCCTTCTCGCGACGATATTAGGACGACTGCACACGTTCTTGGCATGTATCCCCTCCTAAACAAAGCCCTGAATTATCAATCACTTCTCTCTCCCTCCTCCCTTAATGCAAACATGCAGCAGAGTCCATCCCGGCCCCCCAGCCCCGACGTTGAACCCTACTTAGCACCGCAGCCTGGGAACAGCTTTTGATGACAAGGTCACAAGTACTGAGTGAGAAGACCTCTGTCCAACCAAAGTAGCCCAGGTCTTTAACTACACTGGATCTCACCGGGATTTCACACACCCCTCGCTTATGACCTCTTAGCGAGGAGGCATTAGCAGCTGCAGTTTTATGAGGTCCTCGATGTGACAACGTACTGCATGTATCCATCAACAGCGTGGCCGCGACTTATACCTGCAGTGTAGCGTAAGGATGAAAAACAGACACGGTGGTGATGTAGGCAAAAGAGAAGAGTGGATGATGCATTATGAGAAATTAAAGGTGTAACATTGTGCCAAGCCTGTTGCAGCATCCTGAACTCCCCAAAACTTTTAGAATGAGCACTTAAAATATTGAAAGGTAAATACAATTAGCATATTAAGAGCAAAAATAAGTGCAATAGAGCTTTGTGCAATTTTTGAACAAATAATAATATTAAAATGTTTGATTGGAGTATAGGGAATTCTGCTTTGAGAGAAAAAAAAAAGAACCGATCAGATCTCAGACTACTGTTGGTATCCATTTAATATCTCTGCCCTGTCTCTTATTCTCTTGATTTACCCTAACAGGGTTTTCTTGAGAACTAAATCTACTTAGGATTTATTGTTTCTTATTATTTCTGGTCATTTAAAATCATAATCCTTTCACCTAATCCCTCTGTACCTCCCTCTCATTGAGATCATATTCATCAAGATCATCCCCTGTGACAAAGCAAGAAATCAGCACACTGGGGAGGTCTAAAGAGATCGTGTACAGTAACAAGAGGTTTTCTTCCAAATCACATCCAGTTCCTCTGATATAATCAAGACGAGACGCCAGAGACGACGACATAATCTCCCAGGGACATGCCTCCCTTGCTTGCATGTTATTAAAAAATGAGGAGGAACAAATCTTTAGATTGAAAGACTGAAAAAATGGAATTATAATAAATCGCAGGAAACTGGGGCAAGGTTGGATAAAGCCTTCAGATACAGATGAGGGACAAATCTTCACTGCGGTATGTGCTTGTGTGCGTGCGTGCGTGAGAGAGCAAGGACGAGCACATGTACTGTAATGTGTTTGCGTGGTTGATTATAAAATATTTCAATTCACTCAAGATCAAGTACCTGACCTGAGCCATCCCTGTCTACATCTGTGTAAAAAAAAAAAAACTGGAGTGCTAGTTGTCCTACTAGAACTCGCTCAGTGATGTCAGATAATCTCCGTTTCTAAGGTGACTTCTGGATCGGGACGCTTAGTGGATGTTGTTCCCAATTATTTGAAGTTGCACTAACAATAACCACCCACATGATGGCACAATGTGATGAAAATGACATCTAAAAGAAGACCTTTCAGGCTTCTTCGCTAATCAAGACTGTGCGCTGACCTCCGTCAGGAATTAGCGTTTATATAGCCAGATTAATATTCCCCACTTTAAATTGATGCCTTTAGTTAACTGGTGCACAAAATCAGCTGCCAGAGAGAGCATTACAAATCATAAGAACCACGGCCTTCACCACCAGATGGCCTTATTGAACAGCAGTAAAAGTAATAAAACACTGTGTGGCTGAGCTGCAGGGAATCATATGCTTAAACACAATTATAAAGACCTATGCATCACAACGACCCATGTTAGTTTAAAGTAGATATTGGACCATGTAGTCCGTTATTATAAAACCCTTTAAAAAGGAGAGGATTCTAAGAGTAGCCCACAGGGCTGCCCACTAATCTGTCTGTTATCCATACTCTAATAAATGCATTAAAAAAATATTTTTTTTAATCTCAGTACAAATGTCCATCATCCATGTATAATGGCTTACAAAAATATATATAAAAGCACACCCTTTTTTCAGCCTAGAAATAAAAATCCAACTAGACTAGTTTGTGTCATTGAAGAAATCCTTATTTCTGGCCTGAAATAGTTTTAAACAACAGAGACACGAGTGCTTGAGTGAGACATAAAACAACAAAAGAGACATTTCAATTCTAAAAGAACGTGTCGACATGATTAGAAACAATGACAGACTTAAAACATATTAAAATACTAAATTCCTACTAACTGACAATAAATAAACAGCTATGTAGTTACAGTGTTGTTGATACTTGTTACTGGTAATTGCTTTCAGTTTGTTTTGCTGTGAATGTTTTCTTTCCAAGTCTGTGTTCAAGGATAGATGACTAACTAGTTTTGGTTTTTAGGCAAACAATACAAACAACATTTACAATATGAAAACAAAATACCAGCTCCCCCCAACAAAACAGAAAGGCAGCAGTAGTTCGAAATGTTGTGAAAGACAGACAATAAACTTTATTTGACTCACATTATTTGATTCATCCTGTCTCATGGTGAGAGTCCAGGTCAGACAATCCCGCTCTGTGGTTGTTTACTAGCAGAAATTGAGAGGCAACACCTTTAGATTTTTTTTCATCGATTTATCATACTATATATTCATGTTTTATTAAGTTTGAGGTTCATCGTGTCATGTTACCATTCCTTGGCCTCCGAGTGGCGCCATTTTATCTTTTCTTCTCTCACGTTCTCTGTTTTCTTCTCTCTCTTCTCACGGTTTACCTGAGGGCGTCATAGCGCCACGGGCGTCTGAACGAACGATAAAAAGCGACAAGAGGCTCAGACATTTTGGCCAACATAAAAAATAAAAATAGAAACTTTTTTTTACGCCATAAGTGAAGTTGGCAGCCCGTTGCCTTGGAAACAGTTGGACTCCCCACCCAACTCATTCAGAGTTACCCCAAAAGTTATAATGGTAGTAAAACATTTTATTTTAGGGGATCCCCAATCTAATATATGGCTAGTTTTGGGTTCTAATACGGTAACTGAGTGCATTTAGTGCATTTGATTGTGTGAACTATTGCCGGAACATGGGGTAGGCTACGCCCCAACACTTGATGCTGCATCCCACTTCTCTCCCAACTCAGTCTGAGGGAGAGCAGCACGGAGACGGCACCATGGCCGCTATCATCGATGGACTCGAGAGGTTTGACAGTCCGGGAAAGGGACGAGGTCTCCGCGTCACCAGGCCCTTTAAAGTCGGGGAGCTCCTGTTTTCGTGCCCGGCCTACTCCTCCGTCCTGTCGGCCGCAGAGAGAGGCTGCCGCTGCGAGTTCTGCTTCCACAGGTCCGGCACCGCCATTGACTTTTAACCCCGCCAGACCCGGCTCTACTAACGTGGTCATCCGGAACAGAACGTGTTGTTAGGTATCAAGTCACAAGTCCTGAGATGACATGAGTCTTATTAACGCAGCATCCATTGTGCTGAAGGCAGATAAGACTCTGTGCCATGATGTGTAGTAGGAGACACACACATGGCTCAAGCATGTCAGCTCATAAAATCTATTTCGGCTGAGCCAGTGGCTCATCTTTCTGAGTGATGCTCGGTTCAAGTATCAGCTTTCCCTGATGTTGGAGGTCTTTCACATTAGGCGATGAATTTGAATCAGCGCCACTCTTGAAGCAGTTTTTTATTTTTATGTTTTATCTGAGGAGATCAGTGCAGGTCAGGTCAGAGGGTCAGTCCTCTCTCCTAATGTCTGTAGTGATAGTTTAGTCATGTTAACTGCTCAGTTAGTGTGTTTTTGTTTGGCAAACAGAATTGAACATGCTCTAATTATGATAATCAACCTAAATGCAATGTGGCATGACCTTTATTTGTTTATTTAAGTTTTATTAGTGGTGCCTGCTTTTGTTGTTTGCATCACAGATTATCTGTTTACACCGTCAAACACAGTGACCATTATCAAATCAGAGGGATAGGGATAGAACAATTTCACCTTTGTAACTGATTTCTCATCTTTTCATAATTTCCCATTAGAATTTATGCATTGTTGACATTAATTCTCAAAGCTGTGTCCAGCTGAGGTATGTGATGCTCATTATAAATGATTCGCTGCCACGTTTGGCCGGCTAAGTCCATTAGATGAATCAATGTGAGTCTTGTAGCTCATGATAGCCTATCCCTGGTTTTAGCTTGTCACACTGTAGCCATGCCCGAATCTTACACAGCAGCTCGTTTTCATTTTATCAAGTTGAATTTTGGACTCCTTTACCATCTCAGTGTGTCACACAGGCAGCTGGACCACCACAAGGTCAGCTCTATTAATACCACAGAATGTTTTAGAGCCCTTCGTTGCTATCAGTTGCTGCAAACCACCAGCAACTGCTGCGTCTTATTTCAGGGTTCTAGAGCAGGATGTCAAAGTTCCCATACACACATTCAATACAACAAGATACTGTCACACAACAGGATGTACATGTATGCATACATCAGTACGTGCACAACAATGAAAACAGGGTTGTCATTCAATGAGTTCTGAATTTTACAAATATGTTTATTTAAAAAAAATGCAACTTGTACTCCAAAGTCTGATGATAGTTTGCATTTATAGGAAAGAGGGCTTGGCAAGATGTGGGAAGTGCAAGAAAGCATTTTACTGCAACGTGAAGTGCCAGGTAGGAAACCCATCAACACATCAGCCATCGAATCCAGAGTGAGATGCAAGGAGAAATGACTTAAAGCAAATGTAAGATAGATAGATAGATAGATAGATAGATAGATAGATAGATAGATAGA